AGACTAGTTGCTACATAAAGCAAACCCTGTTATTTAACCCATGGCTAGTGGGGAAAAGAGATGGATTAATGTATTTTCTAACAGCACTAGTACGAATTTAAGCACAACAAATTCGGCCCAAATTTGAACTCGTGTCATTGATTACATATTCTGTGCTCTACTCGAACAATTGAAAGTAAACCTTTATGAAATTGAATTTTACACTGGTTATAAAGAGAGACAAAAGTGAGAAAATGAGAGAAATTTAAACCAGTGTTTTGGCTTTTGAGTCTAGACTCAATTTAAATTTAGTTAAATTTCATTCGTACCAGTCAGCTAAATTAATTAGTTAAATTAATGTAGCTGGTTAGTTCGAATGAAAATGTTTGTATTCATAAAGTAATCAATTCAGAATCACTTCTAACATAGATTAATTTAGATTCATTCTATGAGATTAACATCTACTGTCTCAACTGTATTGCTATTTCTTGAGGTTCTCCGTTCAATTCAGACGTTTCAAATATGCACCAAAAAATAGCAGGCGAATTCAATGATTCAAAGACTAAACGATTCTGCTTGCTGATCTGCATAATTCATTTGGTTACTGTATAAACATTTAGGGCGAGTTTAATCGCATATCTATGCAGAATACATGTACTGTAAGTGATCCCCAACAACATTGTAGATAATGATGGGGATCGCTGACAGCACAAGCAAGAGCCGGCGTCATTTTGGAAATAAAGTTTTAAAATCGCATAATGCTGTCAGTTCTCTTGATAAAAATCATATTTCACCAAGATTTGAACAATAATATCAATAACAATTTATGTGGTTGAATCTATTCAAAATTCTCTAAAATAGCCGCTCAAAAGTGTATAGTCAGTATATTTGAGTCATCAACTCAAATATATCAAATATGTTATGATTGCTTTCATAAAATAAAAATAAAAAGAAACCAATATATGTACAACTTTTTAATCAATTTACCCCAAGCAAGGCGATAATGCCACAATGATACAAGAGGACTACTGGGAGTTAAAGAGAAGAAATATATTTTAGAAGGAACCGGAAACCTAATCCTAAACAGGAAACACGAGATAACCTATCTACTCTCATTGAGGAAAAGTAAATAAATAAGTAGTAAATAAAATGTCATAGTTTACGAAGAGACGTTAGAAGTATGTTGAAGTAGATTTTAGAAGGAACCGAAAACTAAATCCTAAACAGTAAACAAGAGATAAACCATAAATCCTGTTCATAGGACCAGGAAGGAGTGTAAAATACATATTAGCTACAGTTATTTTTTATGTATGCTATTCCACCAGCTGACCAATCTATTTTATATTTAACTCTATAAAGTAGAAATCTAAAAAAAATAATATTTAAGACCGACACCTTTTCATTTTTTCAATAAATTTCTATTAATTTATGATTTAATGTAAATTTGTGAATTTTGAGAATATTTTGCAATTGAATTTATTTTATCATTTTAATATCTTATGCATTTTGATAAAAGTATTACATAAATAATATCATCATCATCAGTCCCTCGACTCCTTCAGTCGTCGGGAGGGAGATGCTGATGCCAGAAGAAATAGACTTTGATTCTTCCTCTTCATGATCTTTTCAATGAGATTTCAGTTAGCTTGCCGGCAACCATCTCCTCTCCAAATTCCTGACCGACAGCCGAAGACCTCGGAACATGGTGTGGGTTGCCCCCTGTCGGTACAACAAACCCTCAGGTTTCGAATTTAGAGTTGTTCTTCTCCTAGTCCGGTTGCCATCCAAGGCTATAGGATCCAGGCTGTCCTGCTATTTATCTATAGCTGGGAGAGAAGAGATGGATTCGTACCTTTCCCACATAATAATTTAACAATTACAAAAAATAAATAATAAAAAATTGTATTTATAGGGTTTTATGCATGCGAACGTTGACATTCGAGTGCATTTAGAATAAAGGCCTTGATGTGTATTTATAGTGTTTTAGACCGCAGAGTTTTGCATATCAAAGTTGCCATGGTAACTACTTTTTTCTTATGATCGGTTTTGTTTGGAAAATGCTCACGTAATGTAAGGAAACATTAAAATTCAATCAAAATATTTGCAAGATTCAATTTGTTTTTACATATTCCCCTTTTACATGAATCAATCAAGGCCAACCGCAGTCATTTTAAATGCACTGTCCTTTCATTAGCTGCATAGTAGTATATGTTTTGCCAGGGCAACGTACAATTCAGACTTGTCCTTCTCCTAGTCTGATTGCCATCCAAGGCTGAACGTCCAGCCTGCTCTACTATTTAACCCATAGCTGTAGAAAGAAGAGATGTATCCACACCATTCTCAAGTGTATTTGCGCAAATGCTAATGTAGAGAAACTCGGCTGGAATGCGAACTCGGCTCTCTCTCTCTCTCTCTCTCTCTCTCTCTCTCTCTCTCTCTCTCTCACACACACACACACACACACACACACACACACACACACACACACATAACACTATCCGCACATCCACGGTTGTAAAACAAAGAGTTGCAAATGCAACTCTAAAAGCACAAAGCCTGCCGAATGAAAACACTTGAAAAGACAAGGGAAAATGAAAAGAGAAAGTAAGAACTAATAAAGACACCCCCACCCAAAAAAACGGCAAAATAGAGAAAAGGAAACAAAAAGAGAAAAGAATATACAAGCAAATACCTACGAAAGTGCTCACTATCTGAATCCGAACTATTAAGACAGAACAAAATGACACAGGCCAAAAGAAACCCAGTTCAAATAGCATTACTGAACGCTATCGGCAGTTGAGAAGAATCAAAAAGCTTTTAGTTCTTATCACCGGACGATTGCGTGGAGTAGAGATTTAGACTGAGTCTTTTTTTTGCGCTATGTCACTGATTATATATATATATATATATATATATATATATATATATGTGTGTGTGTGTGTGTGTGTGTGTGTGTCTGCGTGTGTGTGTGTCTGTGTTTGTGTGTGTCTGTGTGTCTGCGCATGTACGGTAGGTAAATCAATAAGGCTAATGGAAAAAAATAATTTACTTTCCACGCGTAATATTTATTCTTTTAACGTGATCTGTTTTTGTCAACGCACTTTATTCAGTTGTGGATAGTAATCATATCGACTGAATATTATGCAATAAAATTTCACGTTTAAATTCAATTAATAATTACGTGCTAGGCTACAATTTTATTGATTCTCTCTCGCATATCTGGGTGTGTGCCGTTGTAAATGCATTATTTGGGTTGTTCTTTTATTAAATATTTTAATTTAAGTATACACCTTAGTGAACAAAAGCTATACTGCGTGACTCAATGATACAAGTTCTTATTTACTTAAAATATTAAATCGCGATTTTCTGTAGGAGTGTTTAACTATTACATCACAAATAAAACATCACTCGGCCGTTCTCTGCTTAATAGAAGTTTGACTTTATTAACTGAGTGAGAAATAAGCCCTCCTAATTACGATTGGCCGACCGCGTCCGATGATGCTGCTTGTTGTACAAGAGACACTAGTAAACCAAAGAAAATAGACTGCCTTCATCTAATTGCATGATGATTAAGCAGAACACAGTCTATACTTTTTCTACCATACGCTCTTTACGATCCTTCAAGCTATTTTCAGTTACAACCGAGTAAAGCGCTATGTCAGATTTAATTTTTAAGCCAATGTTTTCACAATAAAATAGATATTAAACATTTAATTAACTTATTAAACTTTTCAGGATATACTTATGTTTATGGTAAATATACTATGTAAATTTCAGATTACAAAGTTTTTGTTAGAAATATTTACAATAAATTATTTGATGGTGTGACATTTTATTATGCAAATTGAGGGTTAATATATTATACATATATAGATATATTGAGATAATTACTTGTTGTAGCATACCTACGGACGATAATGTATACGTCCCCATTCACATAAGTACAGTAGTAAATACTGTATGTTGGTCTGCAGTTGGAGATTTGTCTCTAGCTGTGCTGGTCAAACTCTCTGCTTCAAGGCAGACAGGATCTCCAGATGAGGCTATGTCGAAGAGCAGAGTCTCGTCTCGGAAAACAGATACCCGACCCCGTTTTATACGATGTCTACGAGGAATTTTTGGCTGAGCCTACGGGCTAGGTTACCCCACATTAAATTCGGCCTTGTGCCACATCTGACCGCGTGGAGCGGTAGTTAGATATCTTGCAGTTGAAGATTCGACTCCAGCTGTGCTGGTCAAACTCTCTGCCTCAGAGCAGAGAGGATCCCCTGACGAGGGTTAATGTGGAATGACAGTCTTGTCTCGGGAAACAGCTACACGACCCAGTTTTATATGGAGTCCACGGCGAATCTTTGGCTGAGCCTACGGGCTCGGATACTCCATATTAAATTCGGCCTTTTGCCACATCTGATCCCGTAGGGGGGTTTGTAGATATCCTGTAGTTGGGGACTCATTGTGGAATTTACTTGACTAACTTCTAGCAGTTGATTACTTCTCTTACACGCCGCTGGCGAATCTTGTGTTGTTCGTGTCCTAAGTATTATCGTTCATTACCAACCTTCGGGTGATTATTCTATTCAGTAACCTTCCCTAGGTTACAACATTACTGATATTTATTTTTTTAATTTCAAATATAAAATAAAACGTTGGGTAAATATATTTATTATACATTTATTGAGTGATAGGAACCGTACGTTGGAGATGCGAAACATCTGAACAGAGATCGCAAAACAATGAAAAGGATTGATTCATCGATATGTTTTTTAGGGTTTATCACCTCTTTGTAAGTTATTTAAAGCCAGAAATCATTTTTTAGATTGTAAGATTTTAGGGAGATAATAATGATTTACTGGTACAAGTTCTACTAATTAATCCATAGCTGGGGGTGCAGAGGTGGATCCATACCTTTCCCAATGATATTTACGCGTAAGTGTATATAACGAACCCGACTGGAATTTGAATTCGACTCCTCGATTTTGAATTCCGAGCCGTTACCCATTGCATCACCAGCACAACCAAACTTACAGCACATGGTATTCCCAAGCGATCAACCATCTAGGTAATGATCTGACACAGCGTTGCTTAAGTTCGGTGATCGTACGAAAATCGGTGTTTAAACGTGATATTGTCGTAAGCCACAGTGAAAAAAAAATTGAAAACACTGGCAAGAACACGTGGAAAAAATATAATAATGTCATAAAAATTATTCGCGAAAAATTAAACAGTAATCTTACTTATTATAAAACGCAGATTGTGTGTGTGTGTGTGTGTGTGTGTGTGTGTGTGTACATTTATATATTGGATCGGATTTCCTACATTTTTCAACCGATTTCAACAAAACTTCACTGGACTGCGTAAAATTACCTTACGGTTGTTCTGACAGCACCAAAAATTGGAAAAACACAATTGTTTTTGCACGAAATCAATTTGAAAACACGATTCTGTCGCCAGAATGAAAGGGGGACAACTCATATCGAGTTATACTTATTATTATAAAAACCCAGTGTGTGTGTGTGTGTGTGTGTGTGTGTGTGTGTGTGTGTTGTGTGTGTTCGTTTATATATGGGATCGGATTTCCTACATTTTTCAACCGATTTCAACAAAACTTCACTTTTTTTGGCAGTTGGTGTTTCTTATTGTCTTGCACACTTTTTTCTTTACTTTTGCATTCAGAATGCTTTAAAAAATTCCATTGTTTATAATAAAATTCTATTCAATCGATAGACTCATAACGATTGAAAACAATGTTTTTGTTTGAGTTTGACCCAATCGTAAAAAAAAAACAAAAAAAAAACTAATTAAGACATGCGTGTCCGTCAACCTTAAACAATAATCTTTGTCAATTTTATTTTTCAGTCTTTAGGTCGATACTTGATCTATCTCTTACTGTTACATCCCCGGGCAACGCCGGGCTCTCCTGCTAGTAATCAATGAAAGTGAATTGGTCTACAAGGAAATATTTAAAGAAGCTTGTAATGCGAGTGTAAATAGCAAAGATGCAGAATCTTAAGAACTTTGGCTAAAGAGATGAAATATAGAAATTGCCACCCGTCACTAAGATAAGTAAGTTTGATGAAGAGGTACATGAAAACTATTTCTCAACAGTAATTTTTAATGATGAATGTCGATCTATATTGTAAGGAGCTGAGAGCAGCGATTTTATACAAAATCATCTTTGACTTAGAAGATAACAGTACGAAGGCAGTGTAAATATCAATGTTTAAGTAAATTAGGTCTTGGACATTATTCCGGAGAATATAAGCTGAATAAGGATAAAATATGAGCAGCAGTTCACAGATTTCGTAACACAATTTGCACCATTTCTCTGTTATCAGTTCTTACAAAAAACGTGATCGGTCATTCAAATGCCTTTACCACAATAATTAAATAATATCTGAGGTCCGTCTAGTTCTAAATGGAACTGTATCGAAATCAACGGTTTATATTACTTTACTGAAAATTCTCTATGGCTAAATATCTATTCTTATATATATATGAGTTATATATATATGATTTATATATGTATGTTAAATATATTTTGTTTTGTATGTCTGTATATGGGTGTGTATGCGAAAGATTGTACATGGGCGCGTGGCCCAGTGGTTAGAACGTTCACTTTCTGACCATGTGACCCGGTTGATTTGTCAGGAAGGCGACTTCCTGATGGTACCGGACCGTTGGAAAGTGCCTGAAAACCATACCATGGGTTGACCCAAGCCTTGTAAGTGAAACTGGATAATCGAAACACTTGGGGTCCGTCGATAGCTGTGCTAGCATGAATTCACAAGTCATCGTGACCGAGGGTTTGAATGTGCTGGCCTTGTTCAGATTGTTGATCACGCTAGATAACACGCTTTCTCCCAGAAACTGTAACTAAATTTTGCTCAGCATAGTTGCAGTATAAACCACAGGTGGGCTCTGTGGGTGTTAAACAAACACAAACGTGCTTGAGCGAGTGTCTGCAATAGGGATTGATTAGCCGCCCAAATAGACGGGTATCCTCGAATACGAGTGGCTAGTTATTATTATTTATACCAAAGATTGTATTTAGCCGGAAAAAGAATTTAATGCAAACAGTTTTTGTAATGATAGAAATAGATGTCAAGAGATAGACCATTAACAATAATAAATGTCTTTAATGTAAGTGTAGCAAAATTGCATATACACTTGAGGAGAACTGATTGTAAAATTTTACAATTATGTCAGTGGGTGTAATTCTATAAAACTCAAAGTACAAGATAAATGAATATTTACTGTTATTATATATATATTAGTGTGTGTCCGTGCGCGCGCGTGTATATGTGTGCGTAGGCAATGCCTCTTTCATGTGTGTCTATATATGCATTGTTATATAAATATGATAAACGTGTCATACAATGATTCGCATATTTTGCCTATACCTTTAACCGTATATATATATATATGGGAGGTGCTAGATGTGATATGTGAGTGTTCATGCATGTGTATATAAATGTAATAGATCTAGCGTTAGACAACCATTTATAAATGAATCTATAGTTTTTCTTTTTGTGTGTGTGTGTGTGTGTGCGTGCGTGCGTGCGTGCGTGTGCGTGTGTGTGTGTGTGTGTGTGTGTGTGTGTGTGTGTGTGTGTGTGTGTGTGTGTGAGTCCATCTACCTTTTACATTTGTTCCTGACAGGATAAACATTACTTCTCCAAACGAGAAAACAAGAATAAAGATTGATATTTATATCAATTGCGCAAATACAGTTTGAAATTTCGCCTCAATTCATCTTAGTTCAATTTTCTTTCCCTTCCTCACGACATGCAGTTAACTGTTCCCTTTTTTTTTCACCTGTCGGCATTAAGGCATTTAACAAATAATGGCACCTTGAGTTAAGCTGCAGACATTTTCTTTTTTCTGAATGGTCGATCTCTAACACAAGGAGATGCAAAAGGGTTTGTTTTTTTAATAGCATTGTGAAAACGCATGCATGCCACAGTATTTACCCTGAACAAATTTGGTTGGCTTCTCAGTAATCTACGAATTTGAAACAAACTTTGTTTTGTAAACGCGTTTCTCCAATAGACTTGGTGATTTACGTACGGACACATACGTGTCGAACGCTGAACAAATACAAGATACATTGATCTAAACCTGTTGAAACAAACATACAAAAATTATATACAAATGGCACAGGTGTCTAGAAATGCATACGTAAAAACTGTCAAAATATATAAATGAGCCATTGTGTATTTTAGAAATATATCAACATTTACTTTACATGATTAGAAATCAGGTTTATATTTACTTTTATGGGAAAAATATATCTAAGTTGTTATATATCAAAAACAAATTTAGGGTTATTTATCACAAAGTGGAAAAAAGTTTTCATGTGACGCATTTCGTCCGATAGGACTTCATCACTTTAGTCTGATGAAGCCCTAATGGACGAAACGAGTCACACGAAAATTTTATCCACTTTGCCATAGATCCCACTAAAATTTACTTTTATGTGAATAAAACAAATAAGGGGGAAAATGACTCATATTCATACAAACTGATTGCTTTTTTTTTCAATGGCTAAATTGACTTTAGAAACATTTTATTTTTAGTGATTTTACTTTCTCCGAGTGATCTTAAACAGCTAATAATGATAGAATTGAGAAAGAAATTCATTGTAGGAAAATAGGGAGAATTTTGTTTGGGATTGTTGCATTTTTAGTTCATTATATTTTTCTACTTTTGTTTAAAAATAAAATCACTTCAGTTAAAATCAATTCCAAAAATTAAAATAATTATTTAAATTTATTACATGAAGTAGTCAAAATTTTTAAACATTTAAAAATTTCTGATGTTTGGCTATTTGATCAAATTTTAGAAATGAGATTGAACCCAGAACTTTTCAATACCCAGTTTAAGCATTGTCTGTTATGAAGATATTTTTTCATGTTATTTCTGTTGCGTTTTATTACAAATCCTTGTGTTAACATCTTTAACTTTAATAATGTATCGTCGACTGTACAAGACTATTTAAAATCGAAGTCGGATAATGAACATATGACTCAAGTGACTCTCTTAAGAAAGAAAAGCCAATTGCTCTCATCAAGTTACTGATCATAATATAAAATTGAGCAAAAAAAGATAAAAAAGAATGTTTTGTAACAAAAAAGGCGGCAATGAATTACGCTTGGCAATGTAAAATTTATAATTTACTTTGTAATCTTCTGTAAGGAAAGAGCGACTAAGCGGGGTAGAATAAACCAATGATACGGGTTGTTGGTAGGAATGAAACAATGCAGTCCTGTGTAGGGTGATAAACTACATCCGGCAGCAAGGCCTCTGGTCGGAAGATTGAGGGTTTTTAGAAGCCTGGAACCATCTCTTAATTGCTATTGTTCCCAGGTCCATCTTAACCCGGGATGGTGGCACCTGTTAGCTATGGTCAAATAGTGATCCTCCCAAAGAAAAACACTATGAAAGTCAAAGAATACATTTTATTAGTAAAAATACCAGCAATACATTTTTTATATTAAAAAAAAGACCGACAATACATGACCAGCAATATATTTTTTCTGCAGCTGAAGACATAAAATTGTGTTAAAAAATATATTTAGTTGAAGCCATAAAGTTGTAGTCAAATTATTTAGATTTTGGCATTAAATAACCCAAAGAGGTTGATATGACGCTAAATAAAATCAATTAACCAACGAAACAGTGGCATAACAATTTTCCTTAGCAGTTCTTTATTATTTTACATTTCTCACTAAATGATCGCCACGCCTTTCTGGTCATTTGACTGATCGAAGAGGTAAACTAACTGTCAATTCCAACTTGAAGACATAACTCGTTTTCATCCCGTATCACCGAGTAGTTCGCCCCACCTCAGTAAGCTCTTACATCGATGTCAGTCTCTCCGTTTAGTTTCGTCTCCTCCTCTCTCCATATCTTTTTACACAGGGTTTGATTTATGCCTCTAAGACACAACAGCCACGCTAGAATTTTCTGACAACTGTTTTCAAATGACACCGAGTCATTTCCAGGTCATACTTTGATCTACGCCTATGTTATTTCTTCAGGTCGTTAGATTACACTTCAGCTTCTGTTTAAGATTAAAATTTATGTATTCAAAATCGCTGTGTCTTTGAAATAAAAAGAGAATTGTATAGGATA